CCCCAAAACCCCAAAACCCCAAAACCCCAAAACCCCAAAACCCCAAAACCCCATTTGTTTTGACTTCTGTAGAAATTGGAGAATTATTATAATTATCTGGTGTCGCCACTTTTGGCTACAAATTTATTAAACTCTATAAACTTGTTGTACTCTTCCTTATTAGAGCATTGTTTGACCAACTTCCCAATAATGTCATCTCGAGAGAGCTTGAACTTAACTTTTTGAGGGATGATCTTTAGGTTCCAGACATTCTCGAAGCTATTGTCGTTTCTAAAGACGTTCTCCTTGATATTAGAGTTGATTATCTGTTCGTCAGTGAGAATCTTTGACTTTAGGACGACTTCCTTCATCAGGTAAAGTTCACCATTAGCCTCCTCGATTATGGACTTGGCCTTGAGGAGATTATCTATGGCCTCCTGACACTTCTTCTTAATGTGAAACTCCTTCTTGAGGTAGACATTCTTACAGAAATTAAACTGCTTCTTATTTGGGTTCAGAGAGGCCACGAAGGTGTCTAGTTTATTAATTTTGTTCGTCTCCTTGAATTCTGATAGCTGATATTTGGTACAGTGATTCAGTCTATTTAATTACATCGTACTCTCGGTCATACTCTTCTGTAAGGTCACCGTAGTAAGCTGGGGTGTAATACCCGATAATGTTGTTGATCAGCATTTTAAACACCGTATCAAAGAATATCTGCTGCTTCTTTAGAATAACAGGTGCATATTTTTGATAATTTTCACACATTAAGCTAGCATTTTCCTTCTTATCAAAGGTCTTAAGATCAATATACTTACTCCAGTAGCCACGAACCTCCTCATGAAAATCACTAAGGAAGATCTTAGAATCCATAGAGTACTTTCGGCAACTCTCATCGCTAGTCTGAGACATTAAGTTTTGGAGACGGAGGTTCTCCCGCTCAAGTTCTCTGATCCGTTTCTCAAGTTCCTTGATATATCCTTTCTTCCTTTCTCTGGTCTCTTTAGACCTGATTCTAGCTTTGAGCCGCTTCTCTTTAAGGCTAAGACTAGGTTTGCTGGAGTCATGACTATCCTTAGACTCCTCTTTCTCTGCAAAGCTGGTCATGAAATCCTTGTGCTCTAAATTCAGAGGGCTAGCTGCAGCTAGCAGTGACGATTTATCCTTGGTAAAAATCTCAGGATTTGTAGCGTCATATATCTCTTTAAAAGGGTTGTAGTCTAGTTCTTCTACAAAACTTTCCCTATTGAAAAACATTTTGATTTTAGGTTCAATTATTTCTTAATTCTTTGGGGTTTTGGGGTTTTGGGGTTTTGGGGTTTTGGGGTTTTGGGG